TTTATTTGAACTCTGACTGGTCAGGCTTTTAATAAGCCTCAATCATCACACTTGTATATACTGTACACTGTATTGTTTACTGTAAGGACCGATGTTCACTTCAATAAATGAAATCGTAAGTTTGCTAGTATTTTTGTCCATTTATTATATTATTATTTATACACTATTATTTAAGGTTATGTGTAAAGGAAACGATTTTCCTAACTTCAACAAAAATGGCGGAAAAATTTACTTACTTTGAGGTGTGTATGTAGAAGGCTCCTGGATGATGGTGATGATGTGCATTTGAAGTGGGAGGTGCAGGAGGAGAAGGGAGAAGAGAAGGAAGTGGAGGTGGAGGAGAAGCATTTTACTGCTTCTTGGAAGGTGAGTCACCTTCCATGAAAATGTCAGGAACCTCTGGACTGACAGATTCTCCACCATGAACATCCTCTCTCCTTCTTGAAGTGGAAGGCTGAGGGCTAGCATCTTGTTCCCTCTGCCTTTTACTGAAGAAAGTGTCAATTGTGGTCTGTGGGGCATCTGTCCTCCTCACCATTAACTTATGTTTAAAGAAGGAGACCACTGAGTCCTCAACATGACACAAAGTTAGTTCAGTTTTTTCCACTTCTGGGTGCTTTGAAGCCAGTTCCCTGAACTTCTCCCAGTGGTAAATCACATCTTTCAACTGTTTAGCTGACATATGGTCATCACTTTCAATTTCCTCCTCACCACTGTCAGCCTCTACCCGTAACATCTCATCCAGTTCCTTCAAGTCATTAGGAGTAAGTTCCTCCTCATGAGACATCACAAGCTCTTCCACATCCTTCTCCTCCACTTCAAGACCCAATGACTGACCAATGGACACAATCTCCTGGTCCAACTCTGTGTCATCCTCAAATCCCTCAAAATCATGGACTACTGATGGCCACAGTGCTTTCCATGAAGAATTGAGGGTTCTATTGGAGACTTCTTGCCATGATGACACAATCAATTTTACAGCCTCCAGGACGTTGAATTGTGTCTTCCAGAACTGTTTCAGTGTTAGTTCAGGATCAATGGAAGTTGCCTGATGACACCTCCTAAACATTTTCTTCATGTACAACTTCTTGAAGTTGCTGATCACATTCTGGTCCATTGGCTGTATGAGTGATGTAGTGTTTGGAGGCAAAAACAACACTTTCACAAAGTCAAATTTATACTCCAAATTTCTGGCAAGGTCAGGGTCATGACCAGGAGCATTATCCATGAGGAGAAGAGCCTTTAAAGGAAGTTTATTGGTGGTTAGGTAGCTCTTGACAGAGGGGCAAAACACATCAATAGCCCATTCATTAAAGAACTGTCTTGTCACCCATGCCTTACGGTTGGACTTCCAATAAACTCCAAGCATTGTTCTTACCACTTTCTGTTGCTTGAACACCCTGGGGTTTTCAGAGTGGTAGACAAGCATAGGCTTCAGTCGGAAATCCCCTGAAGCATTGGCACCAAGCAATAGAGTGAGACGGTCTTTCATGGGTTTATGCCCAGGTAAAGAGGCTTCATCCTTGGTGATGAATGTTCTTTTGGGCATCTTTTTCCAGAACAGCCCAGTTTCGTCAACATTGAACACTTGCTGTGGAAGATAATTTTCTTCTTCCATCAGTTTTTTAAATTCAATTAAAAACTTTGCTGCCCCTTCTTTATCAGCACTAGCAGCTTCACCATGCCTAACAACACTTAAAATGTCACTTCTTTTCTTAAATTTTTCGAACCAGCCTTTGCTAGCCCGAAAATCTTCAAATTCTGTTCCTGAAGAACTAGGTTGATCTGTCTTTAAATGTTCATAAATCTCCCTGGCTCTTTCACAAATGAAATCACCAGAAACTGAATCACCTTTCATCTGTTTTTCCCTAATCCAGATGATAAGTAACCTCTCAGTTTCTACGATTAGGGATCTACTTTTAAACACTCTTGTAGATTTGTCTCTCACGTTCACTTCCTTAAATTTGTCTTTTTGTGCAAGAATTGTCGACACAGTTGATGCCGACATGCCATATTCTTTGCATAGCGCATTTGATTTAATACCTTGTTCGTGTTTTTTTATTATTTCCTGCTTCATTTGGATTGAAATCACTTTTCTTGATCTCTTAGGCCCCATGCTGGATTCAAACAATGGCAACACGTATTTTTCAAAGTTAAACTAGCTGTAAATAAAGAATATTTTCTTTAAAATAACACTGCACTGCACTATATATTGTCAATATGTAAAATAATTTTCAAAATGACCAATAATTTGCTTGGAAACACAGAAAAAAAGCGTTTAGTTGAAGAGAGTCTCAAGCAAGATGTTACCTCCAGTGAAAACAGAGAGAGACTGACGCCTGTTTGCTGTGTTAAGAGGCTGGATGCCGCGCATTAAACTAGTCACTTTACCTTCAATTTTGTTCAATAATTGTTAAAATGACTAAAAAATTGAATATTAAACTTTTAAAATAATTGAATAGTATAAACTTCTTGATATTTACAAAAATAGTAAGGAATTTAAGCCCTAGAACCGATTAATGTATTGGCGGACTGATACTAAAGCTGGTTGCCCGGTCAGTGCAAGCGAAAACATGTTGAGGTCGGTTCGTAAGAAGTTCGTTAAGCGAAATTTTTTTCGTTAAACGAATTGAAGATCCTTATGGAAGGCAGTTCGTTAATCGAAATTACGTTAACCGAGGTGTTCGTTAAACGAGGGGTCACTGTACTGTATGCATCTAAACCCCTGAAATAAAGAATATCATTAATACTTGTAATAAAAAAAACAATAAATTAGTAAAAAAAAATAAAAAAATTTTTTAAATGTTCGTTGTAGGAGTTTCGTTCGTTATAGCATTCTCAATTTTATAGGTAAAACCGTTTGTTATAGGAATATTCGTAGTAGGATCCGTTCGTTATAGCATACCCCACTGTATCTGAAACTTTATACAGTACTTCATCAATCTACAGTATCTCACTACAAGCTTATACCCATACTGTATTTCTCCCTGTCTCCCTTCTCTACTTATTTTCATGACTATAAGTTACATTCACTATCAACTTTTCTCTAACACATATTTTTTTTTACAAACTCATTTGCTAACATTTGTAAATTTTCTTCTCAATTTCCCTTTTGAGTAGTGTCATCTGGAAATAATAGCTGACTCACCCTGACATCCTGCATTAATCACAAGATTTGTATTTCTCTCTCACTGTTGGTTTTATCTCTCTCATAAGGCTGATACAGTCATCTGGGCCAAGGTTTTGCATTATGTTTTTGGAGTGCGAGTAAGAATGTGATTGTAGTAAATGTATTTGCTGAACTGGGGATGAGGAAGATACTGTAAAAATAGTTACATGTATAAGTATGTATACTGTATTGAACATTTAACCTTATAATTGTTGGTTTCGTTCTTGGACATCCAGTATGTCATTTAGTGCTACTGTGAAAGAGGAAACTACTGTACTGTAAGGAATTAACATATTAAGAGAATGAACAAACACTCGACTGTCATTTGTTACATATGTTACGCTGTTGGGAAATTGATTGGTAAATGAATTGAATGTACAGGTTGATGATACAGTATAAACATATGTGTGGGTGTTTCTATTGACCTTTTCTAATTACTTTCTTAACTTTTCTGACACTTATTACAAATTTTGTTAACCCCATATTGAGGTTTCTGTTTCCTTTCTTTTATTCTGCTCCACACAAACACGGAAGAGGAGTTAGGACAATACTGTAGACTGATTGACTGATTGTTAGCTAGAAAATAGGTTTGAACAATTGACTGATTAATTGATTGTTAGCTAGAAAGTAGTTTGATTCTTAGGCGATGGTAAATTTGAAGAAAGGATGTAAACTGCTTGTGGGATAATTATATGGAGATGGTACAGTATTAGAATTATATTTGAGGTGCCCCGCCTCGTATGGGTTACTCGCGCCAAAATTTGAAACCGAGAAAACCGTGCTAAAAGTTTTTCTAACTTCAAACATGCATTATTTTTTTTTCTTCTTTTTTGAGATGCAGCATTTATTTTTTATACATTTTGAAGCTAAAGGACTATAGGTAGTAGGCAGCTACTAAACAGGGAAGTACTACTGCCTGGGAAGATATTGGAAGCATAATGTTTTGTCAAATGATAGACCCTGCTGCCATATGGCACCACAAAAATTGTGACCAAGTCCCAGGTTGCTGATCTGACATTGTGCCTCATTTACACACAATTGCAGGGTCTCAATTGTTTCTTTTACTACTGACAACACAACACAACATACATACGTATATCGTTTCTCAATTTTGATAAATTTTTTTCCATTTTTTTATTTCTTTATGGTTCTTTGTTATTATCATTATTATTTCATTATTTTATTTTTAATTGTATTTTTTTTATACATTTTATTTACAGTACAGTACTATGAATTATTATTATTACTATTATTAATATTACTACATTTTCGCCCCCAGGCCCCGATGTGGTTCAGAGACCTGTGCCAAGGTGGGCTAAACCCCATTTAAAAAAAATAAAAAAATAAAAACTTGCAGATGGTAGGTAGCATGTCATGAAGTAATATACTGGGCTGTTGCAGCGTTGACTTGAAACAGCAAAACTTCCACCCGCTTATGTTTTTTTTTTCTTTAATCGATATCCGAGTGTAGTTCCCGCCCGCTGGAGGGGCCGTGACGTAGATAGCAGATGCTCACACTCATTGGCCGAGACGGGGAACAAGGCTGTAGGCTGGCCGCTGTGATTGGCCGTCCACTCCTCTCACTAACAGGATGAGAGCACATTTCAATGCGAAACCCAAGACAATAATTTCCTGTCTGCCACAAATCGATGTTCTACCCTACTTTCAAAGGGCTTTCAACCTTACTTACAGTGTAGTAAGGAGATCTTATCAACTACCATCATATAGAGCTAGGCCGAAAATAGTGTTTTCCAACAGAAATCAGGATTTGCCCGGATGGTCTGAATGCACCTTACGATGCAGGACGCCTCATTTAATTTCTTATTTTCAGTATGGCCATTTTGTAGAGGAGGTTAAACCAGTGAAACAGGATGAGAGTTACACAGCTTGGGACATTACTGTTAGAGACCTGGAATCCAAGAAGGTCTTTACCACCACCTGTGATGCTCTTCTTGTGTGTAATGGGTAAGTATCATTTCTTATTTTTTAATTCATAATTTGTCTAAACCCATCAAAATATTTTGTCTTTATTTTGTCTTTAACTTATAACCCTTGATGTTTCCATTTGGAAAAATAAAATGATTCATTATTTTTAAGGAGATCATGAAGAGATTTTTTTTTCATGTAAAAGCTCTTTGGTCTGGATTGATTTTGATAGTAAAGGAGATTTTTCTTCTATTTTTTAGAAAATAGTTGTAAGTAAGGCATTTATTGTTACAGTGTATTTGTAGTGTATTATGGTACTGTACAGGGTTATGTTCTTTTACTTAGAAGCTGTTAATAACAGGACTATAAACTTAAAAAGTAAAGATAAAGAATTTGTACTGTAGTTTTACTCTTTTAGCTCATATTACATCACCTATATCTTAATACAGTACAGTATAGGAAGTGGGATTTATGAGATTGAAAGTTAGAGAAGAGAACAAGATAAAAGTCTAGGAGGTTTTGGAATATACTGTATAGTACCCAAATTTACATGAAGGGAAATAACATTTGGCAGTTTAGTTTTGTTCTTGTGTGTTTTGTTGATGTTTAAAGAATGCTTTTAAAGCATGGCATCTCTCTCTCTTCTTTATTTTAGCCACTACTCTCTTCCACAAATGCCAGAAATAAAGGATATCGATAAATTTCATGGTCCTAAGTCCCATAGCCATGATTACCGGGAACCTTCTCCATATAAAGACTCTAAGGTTGTGGTGTTGGGGGCTTCAGCATCTGGCCTAGACATTGCTCTGGAATTGGCTACAGTAGCAAAAGAAGTAAGTTAAAGTTAAATAACATTTGAGTACTAATCATTTTCGCATGATATTCAATTTTCAGGATTAAATCCTAATTGGTGGTAGAGCCTGAAGCCAGGTAAGTAGTTTGTAACCTTCCCTTGATTTTATATCAGCTGAAACTAAAGCAAATGGTCTGCCTAACCCAAATTTGCACAGATTCATTAGGGGTGGGGCAGTTTAAGGATTGAGGGGCTCCCTTGATGTTTGTCCTGTATTATGAGAACTGCCCTGACTTCAAGGTGCCTCAGGAAGAACAGTATTGGTATATTTACAGACTCCACAGTACAGTGAACCCTCACTTTACGCGGTTAATTCAACCCACGGCGGCCCGCGTAAAGTGAGAAACGCGTAAAGTGAACAACATAACATAGGGATTAATTGAAATAGAGACCGGACCGACCCCCAAACTCCACTTTTTCCCGACACAATACGTACGTTTTACTAAAAATAACATCTTAACTTTATGATGGTATTCACCCACACATAATATAGAAGGGAACAGTCAATAAACTGAAGGTTAGGTTAGAAAAAAACAAGGTTGGGGTTAACACTTACGTTAGTAGAAGAGATGGGTCGGCGTACGGGAATGGAGGCTGGTTCCGAGGCAGAGGGCAGGCTACTGGCCCTCAGGTGAGTCACCATCACTGTCATCCACACTTGTCAGGGCCTCCCTGACAAATCCCTCAAAGTCATCATCACTGTCTCTACCTCTGTCACTATCACTGGCTTGGGCTGGCTGTGGTGGGTTGCGGGCGAAGAACTCTGTTATGCTTTGCTGACGGCTGGTGTTTATGTTGTCGTGATAAACCTTGATGTAGGGCTCCATAGTCTGCAACAGCTGGGTAGTGAAGATTTCATACCTGTTTGCGTCAGGGTCGTCGGAAAGGAGGAGCTTGGCTTTCTCAATACACTCGATGGCACCCCTAACATTACTATGGGATAAGCGGCGTTCTTCTTGGGATGACGCACCACTTGCCTCTTCACTGACGTCATCATCATCTACCATGTCGTCAGTAGTCACATCAGGATCCCTTATCACCTCCAGGATGTCGTCGTTGGTGGTCTCGGAGAAGCCTGCAGCTGTAACACTCTGCTCAGCTTCTCTGGCAAGGTCCACTGCTACTGCAACAGTCTGAACCTCACCAGTCACAGATTGACTCTGCCTAACGCCCGGAATGCCTTGCAACACATGTCTCCATGCGTGACGAACAGTTGCTACAGACAGCTGATCCCATGCCTCCACCAAGAAGTCCACAGCTTTCTTGACGTTGAATATTCTCCAGAATTGTTTTAAAAGTACTTCTTGCTCTGCCAACTGTTGATCCTCGTCGTCTTCGCTCTTGCTATCGGTGTTGGTGTCACTCAGGTTACGCAACTCTTCCCTGGTGTTGGTGTAGTCGTTCAGGAGCTTGAATTTTTTAGTAGAGAATGCAGCTTTTACATTACAGATTAACTCTTGGTCCATGGGCTGTAATATAGACGTAGTGTTGGGAGGAAGGAAGACCACTTTTACGTTGGGGTGACGATCTAACAGTAGGGGCGAGTGTCCTGGTGCGTTGTCCAGCAGCAACAAAATCTTGAATGGCACATTCTGTTGCTCACAGAATTTCTTCACATCGGGAACGAAACAGTCATCAAACCAGGAGAGGGACAGTGTAGAGAACATCCACGCCTTACGTGCGGTCAGCCAGTGGACATTTAGCTTGGTCATGTCCATGCTCTTGTAGGCGTGCGGCTTGCGTGCTGTGTGGATCACCGATAACTTGAGCTTACAGGTACCAAAGGCATTGGTGGTAAACAGGACGGTGATGCGCTCCTTCTGCAACTTCCGGCCCCGACACTTGCTGGCATTCTTCACAACGAAGGTCTTGGAAGGTAGCTTTTTCCAAAAAAGACCAGATTCGCCCATGTTAAACACCTGGTCGTCGGTGTACTGTCCTTCCTCCATAATCTCACGCAAAAACGGAGGAAATTCCCTAGCCGCAACACGGTCAGCACTAGCTTCTTCACCACCAATGTTGATATTGGTGATCTTGTTCCTCTTCTTAAACCTCTGTAACCACCCAGAGGAAGCATTAAAGGGTTTGGGCTCTGTAATTCCCATCTTTCGTGACACTGCAGCATACAGTTCACGTGCGTACTCCTTAACTGAGCGCGTGTCCACCGCCATGTTCCGTCGCGCTTGACGCACCAAGTAGCTCACAAGTAATTTTTCCAGAAGCACCTGGTTGTGGAAATACTTGATCATAGAAGCACCTGTAGACTTTGTGATGTTCATGTGCTCCTTTATCTTGGCTGCATCCTTCTTAATTGTCCTGATCGTAGACTCGTTAACACCATGCTGGCGCGCGAGATCAACCTGTCTTGTTCCTTTCTCCAACTCTTGTATGATCTTATACTTAATTTCGTAGCTTAAGGAACGTTGTGTCTTTTTTGGCTTAGGGCGGCTGGGTCCAGGTAAGGAAAGGTTTCTCTCTGGGGGCGGTGGTCCGGCTGATGCCATTTTACAGAACAATGGAATTTCGTATACACGATGTGGCCTGGAGGGATGAAACTGCCGCGGCTAGGTCAAGCATCGTCTTTCCTCCCTCCCTCCCGCGGGTGGATACGTCATATTACTTTAAACCAATCACAGCTAGCAGCGGAGGGAGGTAAGGATGCATGGCCCAATTACAGTCCGATACGTCATATGACGTCACTGATAACGCAACAAAGACACACACTGCGCAACCTACTCACACTGCTTACACAACATGGCGGATGGCAGGAGAGATGGCGGGAGGTTTGGATCCAAAAATGGCGCGGCTCACCAGCCGCTCTCCGCGTAAAGGGGTACATGCACCGCGGAAAGTGAGCATTTCGGTTTCGGCAGGGTACCGCATAAATGTGGAAACGCGTAATGTGGGACCGCGTAAAGCGAGGGTTGACTGTACTTCTCTTTACTTTTGTACATCAAAAACTTTATTTTTAGCAGCCCTGGCCACAGGCAGGTGAATGAGACACATTCTGTATCAAGGAACAAAAGAGTATTATCTTTTTACAAAGATTTTAAACCCATGAGGTTTACATCAAAGTCAAAGGTTCTTTATAAAAAATAATATGAGTTATTGCCCACCTTCGATCATCCCTACAGTAACTGTCTGTATGTCTACCAGCAATTGACCCCAAGTTATTTTGGGGTGGCCACATGTCAATTGTGTCACAGGGAAGTGGGCTTGGAGGGTGAGGATACTTGATAATTAAACTGTTTCACCTTGTAGGCAGGTTATGTCTTAACCTTCTCAGCCTCGCATGACGCCATTGTGGCATCAAACATAAAAGGCAAAAAAAATTTACGCTCAGCCTTGCAACGCCAACGTGGCATCCAATGGGCTCAATTTTCAAATACAGTGAGTTCTGCTATAACGCGTGTTTTGATAACGCGAATTTGCTCTTACGCGATTTATGAATTAGGAACGATATTTGTATAACGCGAACGCTTGTTTGCTATAACGCGATTTTTGCTTACTATTTCTCCAATTTTGTGGTAGTGGGGTATGCTATAACGAATCTAATTGGTTCTAGAACCTTGTTCGTTATAGCATTCATTTGTTATAGGATTAATCCGTTCCAGGCCCCTAAATACAACCACTTAACACTGAAAAATATAATATAAAATTGTAAAAATTGTAAAAAAGTGCATAAATATGCATCTAAACCCCTGAAATAAAGAATATCATTAATATTTGTAATAATAAAACAATAAATTAGAAAAAAAAAAGTTAAATTATGTTCGTTGTAGGAGTTTCGTTCGTTATAGCATTCTCAATTTTATAGGTAAAACCGTTCGTTATAGGAATATTCGTAGTAGGATCCGTTCGTTATAGCATACCCCACTGTATTAACTGTGAATATAGTAAAGAAGAATATCAACAAGAAGCGTTTTGGTGATAGAATTCCCGGTGATGATCGTAAAAGAAAGTATATAGCACTTGAAGAGAAGCTCGATTTTATCAACCTCAAAATCACCCTTCTCCCCCATCAAGTAAAGTGTTACATTTACTGTATGATTTCATTATTAGATATGAATGTAACATTTATTTAGACTGTGCTATCCTTTGTTGTTAGGCTAACTACTAAATTTTTTCGATTTCGAGTAATCTGCACCTAACCCTATTTTCTCCATAAGCCCTGTTATTTCTATTACGCGATTTTCTATAACACGATATTTTACAAGAACACAATTATCGCGTTATAGCAGAACTACCTGTAACTCAAAAACTATTCAGTGAAACTGACTGAACTTTGGATGCCATTTGACAGATGTCATTTTCTTTGTGTGGGCCTTATCAACTTCCCCAAGACAGTCTTGGTCATCGTGCGCTTGGCAGCACGGCATGAAGCCAGTGTTGCTTTGGCTATTAGAGTGAGAGGAGGGTGTGCCGCTCTGCCCTTTAATTATTCCATGAGTTTTTGTGTTATATTATTTTTCCTTATACCACGATATTCTTCATGCTTTGTTCTTTATTTTGGTATATAATACATATCAATGAACACCATAATACAAGGCAAATGTGAATGGAAATCGGGTTGTTACTAAATATTTTCCTACTTTTTCAACTTATACTAAAAAAAAGTGACTTATATTTCAAGAATTTTAAATTTCTTATGGTTTCATACAATTTTCTGAAAATTTTATGCTAGAAGAGACCCCATTAAATTTAATAAAACAATTCCATGTTAGTGAAATGAGGCCTAAATTGTTTTTTTCAACGATTTTTTGGCAAAAACCTCCAAGGCTGAGCGTAAGTTTTCATGCACGTATGTGTCTCAGGCTCCGAGGCTGAGAGGGCTAATAAATACTGCTAAAGCCAACATTCTTAGGATTGTTAATGTTTGCTGTGGCCTCTACTGTATGTGATCTGTGACTGGCTACTGGTTTACTACCTAGTTTATAACATGTGTGGAAAAGCTACCTATGATAATTGCCTTTTCAAGTATTCAGTGCTTGCATGTTATATCCTGTCTACTGTACAGTATTGTACTCAAGTAAAGTGAAAAATGTAATTGGTTCTTTAGTATATAGCATGTATGCAGTACTTTTTTAACCACCTACTGGTCACCCCACCTAGATATAAGGTTAAGGAGGCCAGTGGCATGTGTAGGATCCCCCTATTTTGATAGTCTTATCCAGAACTAATTTGTAGCCCAATATTTTTGTTGTTTCCATGGCTCATGATGGTAAGCTGTTCCACAGGCCTCCTACCCTCTGCATTTCCTTAAATTTGAATTGCATTACTCCCAGGCAAACTTGAAATTGTGTCATCTTGCATAAGTAACATGTAACACCACAAAAAATAATTATCAGGAGTTATTAATGTATCCATATTTACTGACTTGCATAGACTTCAAGTTCCAGGTTTTTTTTTTTTTTGTAGCTCCTTTAGTGGATATACCTTCAGCTTGTGTTAGGGTCCTTGATGGAACCTGAAGCTTAGACAAGTTTCAGGAACAGATTTCCCAGATAAATTTTGAAATATTTTTTTTATAGAATAGAGTTATGTAAGTAGTGCAAACATTAATTTGATTTACCCTTCAGGTGCTAATATCACACAACCACCCAGTACCAATACCATCAGAGTTACCTCCTAATGTTCGTCAAGTTCGTGGTGTGGTGTCTGCAACAGAAAATGGATTTGTGTTTGGTGATGGTTCTTCAGCTGAGGCTGATATGATTCTATATTGCACAGGTAAGAACAAATACTGTCAATGTATACAGCCTTAACAACATCAACCTAGAGAAGTCAATTTGTGAAAGAGATTTAGGGGTACTCGTAAGCCCGGACCTTCATCCTAGAAAACAGTTCGTTAATGTTTGAAATAAAGCAAACAGAGTATTAGGTTTTATATCTAGAAGTGTAAGTAATAAGAGTGCGGAGGTCATATTGCAATTATATCTTGCGCTAGTCAGGCCGCACCTCGATTATGCTGTTCAGTTCTGGTGCCCTTATTGTAGAATGATTCCGGGACTTAGAAACCTTCCCTATCAAGATAGATTAAAGAAACCAAATTTGCATTTTCTAGAAAGACGAAGAGTGCGGGGAGATATGATAGAAGTATTTAAGTGGGTGAAAGGAATCAATAAAGGAGATATAGATAAAGTTCTTATAATATCCGAGCAGGATAGGACTCGTAGCATTGGATTTAAGTTAGATAAGTTTAGGTTCAGGAGTGAGATAGGAAGAAACTGGTTCATAAATAGGGTGGTAAATGAGTGGAACAAGCTCAGCAACTTTGTAGTAAGTGCTGGGATGCTGGAATGTTCTAAAAGGAGACTAGTCATGGACGATAGAGGGTGGTTGTAACTCTTGACAGGAGCTGCTATGCACAGGCCAACCGGCCTATTGCAGACTCCTTATTTTCGTATGTTCTTATGTAAAGCTATTCCTGTACTTGTTGCAGGATATTTCAGGAATTTTTTTTTCCAAACAATTTTTACATACTGTACTGTCGCACTCATACTTATCTCTTGTCCACATTTACATCTCTTCTTTACTTCATATTAATACTGTTCATGTTGGCTCTCATTATCATCCAAAACAAATGTAGTTTTTGTTAAGAATTATTGAACATGATGATTTGAATGAAAAGTTCAGCATTTTAACCATACATTGTAGGGAAATATCTTACAAGAAGATCTCTGAGGAGTTGGTTACTTTTATGTTATTATTTGTTGTTGGACTTTTCTGTAGTGTTTAGAGAGAGCTGGATTCCTTTATAAACACAAAAACCAAGCTTTGGACATCTCTACAACTTTCACACAACCATTTGAATATCTTTTGACACCAACTTCTGATAATACATTAAGTGTAATTATATCTCATATACCTTCTTTTCTGTTGACACCAAAGCACCTCCAGCTTTCCTACCCTGACCATCTATCGCGACCCGCCTGACGAGGTATCTAAACAAATGTTGATTAGCGAGACTCGCCTTCTGCTGGGGTTGTTGACATCTGCCAGGGAATGACTGCGTCAACATTATTTTTAGTAGATAGTAGGTAGTAAGCAGCTATCAAACAGGGAGGTACGTACTACCACCTGGGAAGATATTGTAAGCATAATGTGTTGTCTAATGGTAGACCCTGCTGCCATATGGCATCACGGAAATTTTGACCAAGTCCCAGGTTGCTGATCTGACTTTCTGCCTCATTTACATACAATTGCAGGGTTTCGATTGTTTCTCTTAACCCTTTGGATGCGACATGCGGGTAAACCCGCCCAAAATATTATATTAATTAAATGCGACAAGCGGGGATATCCCACGGCCTTGAAAAAACTTCCCCAAATGAGACGACATGCGGACATATTATGTATTGAGGTATAGGAGTATTTCCTGAATGCAATATAGCTTATTTTTGTACTATTTTGTTTGATATTATCTGAATATGTAATACATATCTAAATTTGCTGTTTAGTAACCAAATTGATTAAATTTATTTGCCATATACCAGACATTGATTTATACCAATTTCCTGCATTTTTGGGTATAAATGTCATTTTTTCTCTAAAATTTGCACACATATGTGAATTTTTGTTCCAGATTTGGAAAATATACTAAAAGTTCTCTAGGAAAAACATATAGAAAATGTGATTATATGAAATTCATTTTTGGCAGGATAATTGACACTTTTCAGGAACCGGCGCGAAATTTAATTACGCACCTAAAGAGTTAATTTGACAACACAACATACATACAGTATGTATATCGTTTCTCACAATTAATCTTTTTCTTTTAATTTTTGTATTTATTTATGGTCCTTTATCATTATTATTATTGTTATTATTGTTAATGTAGTATATTTGTTTCATTTTTTTTTCAATTATTTATTAATTATTATTATTATTATTATTATTATTATTATTATTATTATTATTAATATTATTGTTATTATTTATGGTGAGTAAGTGATAGAAACTTGTATGATTAATTATTTTATATTGTCTAAGACGTACCATCTCATTTTAATTCTAGGGTACCATTTCACATTCCCTTTCTTGACGGAGGATTGTGGCATTACTGTTGAGGACCGCATTGTCAAGCCGCTGTACAAACACCTATTTAACACTAAGTACCCCTCCATGGCTTTCATTGGTATCCCCTTCCAGGTCTGCCCTTTTCCTCTGTTTGATATCCAGGTGAGTCACATGTACAGTACTGCATGTATTTATTTTTGTTAACTTTTTCTTCCTTTATTTAACTCATTTTATAGTATTGAAGTTTGACATTCCTGATAAATCATTTATTATATATTAATTGTCTTTGGCCACTGCTTGCCTGAGAACATTGTCTATTCAGAATGCAGTAAGCAGACACACACACAGGCATACACACACAGGTACACACACAGGTACATACACACACAGGTACACTCGGAAACCATAATCTCTAGCCCACCTGGGTCGGTACTGGAGGTTAGAACAGTGTCCTTTCTGGACGGGGGCCCACTCAAACTATCACGAGGCAACACACGCACGAACACACACAGTCATAGTACGGCTGTATAGATGACATTATGTATAAATATTGTATATGGCATTTTATACTCTGCATTATCTTCATTATATATGAACATGAAGAGAAAATACCATAGCTTGTATTTACGAAAGTATGAATGGAAATAAACACTTCCAGACCACCCAGTGACTCCACACAACGTGTGTGTGTGTCAGACCAAGATGCTTCCCATCATTCGCATAACTTTATGAAAAATCCTGTTTAATTTAACTACATATTTCGAAAACTTTAAATTACATGTGGATCAGTCAGTCCTCATTTGACACACTTATAGTGTAATACTTTGACCATCCCACCTGGGTACATGGAGGCCCACGGTAACTCTCACTGGGCAACATACGCACGAACACACAAGTTATGATATGAACCCTTCCAGGCTTCACTATCATAATCATCTTATGTTCATCGTGCTCTGTAGCTTGGTTACTAGTCATAGTATCAATACATGACAGTGTTATTAGTATGATATTGTAACTTTTACCCTACAGTTATACAGTGACCCCTCCGTTAACGAACTCAATCCGTTCCAGAAGGTCGTTCGTTAACCGAAAAGTTCGTTAACCGAAACCATTGTTTCAATGGGTTTTTGGGTAATTGGTTCCAGCTCACCGAAAATTTCCTAAATTCAACAAAAATGGTAGAAAAGTTCACTTACTTTGAGGTGTGTATGTAGAAGGCTCCTGGATGATGATGATGATGATGGGATTTAGAATGGGGTGGAGGAGAAGGAAGAAGAGAAGGCATTTGGGTGGAAGAGAAGTCACCCCATGGCGCCATTTCACCCATAAAATTTTAGCTCTGGTGTAATTCAAGATTATTTTCTTTAAATCAACACTGCACTGCATTATATATTGTCAATATGTAAAATAAATTTCAAAATGACCAATAATTTGCTTGCAAACACACAAAAAAAAGCATTTAGTTGAAGAGGGTCTCAAGCAAGATGTTACCTCCAGTGAAAACAGAGAGAGACTAACTCCTGTTTGCCGTGTTAAGAGGCTGGATGCCGCGCATTAAACTAGTCACTTTACCTTCAATTATGTTCAATAATTGTTAAAATGACTAAAAAATTGAATATTAAACTTTTAAAATGATTGAATAGTATAAACTTCTTGATATTTACTAAAATAGTAAGGAATTTAAGCCCTAGAACCGATTAATGTATTGGCGGACTGATACTAAAGCTGGTTGCCCGGTCAGTGCAAGCGAAAACATATTGAGGTCGGTTCGTAAGAACTTCGTTAACCGAATTTTTTTTCGTTAACTGAATTGAAGATCCTTATGGAAGGCAGTTCGTTAATCGAAATTACGTTAACCGAGGTGTTCGTTAAACGAGGGGTCACTGTAGTTGTAAATCATGGACAGGAAGGATACATAAATTGTAATATCAAGTGTATGGTTCGCTTAAAGCCACCCAATGTCAGACAACGTGTCACACAAAGTTACACTGTGTGTGTGTGTGTGTGCGTGTGTGCGTGAGTGCGTGCGTTCCTGTAACATTAAGCTTCATCCATAGTAGGTAACATGTTTCATAAAGAGGTTTCTCCCATTCGTCATTGTGAGCATCTTCCCAGAGCACATTGTTTCCATCAAAACCATGGTTCATCCTTATTTCCCTTCTTCCGTGAACTATATCCATATGGCTAAGTGCTTGCTTTTCATTTCTTTATTTACCAAAATAATGTGGATCAGTTACTCGTTATTTAACACATACATGCACTTAGAGCATCAAGATTGTTTTATAGGCATGACTATTGGTTAATTGAAACCCAAAAATATTTTTCACATTTATTATGCATAAACATTGTAAACATATCTATGTGATTATTGTAGTATATAACATATATTTAATGTCTGGACAGATTCCCAAGAGTTATGCATATTAATGCATAGATTTTGTAAGCATATTTATGGGAAGTGACGTAAAACCACATAGTAAAATACCTGGACAAATTCCCGAGAGTTAGGAAACGAAGTCTATGTGGCCCCAACGAGTTTACACCAGAGAGCTAACTCCCCCGCCACCCCCTACAAGGCACCGTCGGGGGCGGAGATTTAATTCTTGACCACAGGTTAATACTGTATCCAACCTCCATCTGCTGCTATAACTTCATGCAATCTGGTGGGCATGGAATCTACCAGATTGCTGCAGATGTTCGGCCTCCTCCTTATTCCCTCCCACACATTATGTGCGTGTCTCCTCACTGCCTCCCTCGTTTTCTCCTCAACATCCCATTCAACAACCATATGCGCACATAGATTTTCTATTGGATTACAATTGGCTCCTTTAGGGGGCCAGTCCAATAGAATAATCTGCGGGTGCGCCTCAATCCAACGCTTGACTGCCTGACTTGTATGTATTGGACTGCTGTCTTGCACCATACATAAAGGCTGTGGGTCTGGGATGGCATATGAGTTGCTGGGAGGATGGTTAGCAGTCCTGTTGAACTGGCAGGTAGACAAAATAGAAAACTCACAGCCAAACTGTAAGAAAACCCATGGACAATGAGACATTATTAAAATATACTACGTCATTTTAGCGCGTGCACACATATTATATACAGACCTATTGGTCCTTGCGAGGCTGTTTGGTTATGCTATGCTAAATAGTTTGCTAGGGTGAGGGAAAGTATGTATGTATGTATATATATATATATATATATATATATATATATATATATATATATATATATATATATATATATATATATATATATATATATATATATATATATATATATATATATATATATATATATATATATATATATCTTAAATCACTGTAGGTGCGCGTGATCTAGGTATATGCTGATAACCACAAGGAAAGAAGAAAACACGAAGTTCCCAAGCGCTTTCGTGTAATTCACATCTTCAGGGGTGAGTACAGACTAAAGAGAAATACAAACCAAGGTGTATATATACAGAGGAGGGTGAGACCAGGTCCACAATGGTCAGGTATTAGGTAATGACCCTACTAATCTTTAAATAGCACACAACGGTTGGTGGTCAGGTCAGATGGTCAGGTGACCCGACCTTCTCACCTAGACTGTCTGATACACAGAATAGGTAACACTTTTAAGTTTAGTATTTATAGAAAACCAACTAATGTGTGTTCATACATTCATTATTATTCTGCCCACCATAATAAAGTCAAACAGTCAGTATTTTCAACAATGTTTTTACATGCCTTGAGAATTTGCAGTCCGGAATTCATTGATGAGGAATACAAATATATATATAATATTGGCTCAAACCTTAAATACCCTAGATCTTTCATAGACAAATGCCTAAACATTACTAAGAAAACTTTTTATAGAACTGATCCCAAGCCCACCCATGACCATAAGAATATCTTAATATTACCATTTCACAAAAATTTCTCACACATTCCTTCACAACTAAAAACCTGGAACGTCAATGTGGCATTTAAAAACTCATGCACTGTTAAACAAATGTTAATCAAGAACTCCCCCAACAACACAATTGGTTGCATTTATAAAGTTCCTTGCAAGGAATGTAATATGTTTTACTTAGGCCAGACAGGTAAAGATCTTGCAACTAGAATTAAACAACACAAATACAGTGTTAGGACAGGCCAGGAATCCAATGCTCTGTTTGTTCATTTGAGGGATAACAAGCATTGCATTGACTGGGATAATGCCTCCTCAATATTACCATGTAATTCAATTGATAGTAGGAACATCATAGAATCTAGTCTTATCAAACATACCGAAGCATTCAACATGAATTTGAGTAACGGCATGTACAAGCTGGACAATTTTGTAATTAAGAAGATTTGTAATCAGGTGAGAAGGTCGGGTCACCTGACCATCTGACCTGACCACCAACCGTTGTGTGCTATTTAAAGATTAGTAGGGTCATTACCTAATACCTGACCATTGTGGACCCGGTCTCACCCTCCTCTGTATATATACACCTTGGTTTGTATTTTTCTTTAGTCTGTACTCACCCCTGAAGATGTGAATTACACGAAAGCGCTTGGGAACTTCGTGTTTTCTTCTTTCCTTGTGGTTATCAGATATATATATATATATATATATATATATATATATATATATATATATATATATATATATATATATATATATATATATATATATATATATATATATATATATATATATATATATATATATATACATACATACATACATACATACATACATACATAACATATATATATATATATATATATATATATATATATATATATATATATATATATATATATATATATATATATATATATATATATATATATATATATATATATATATATATATATATATATATATATATATATACACACATACATACATACAGTCATGCGCCGGTTAACGTCCTAGGTACTACTGTAATGTGATACAGGTGATTAATTATTTTCTCTTGTGCAAAATACATGACGTTTATATTAAAATTATTCATTGTTTTACAAGGATTCCAGCAACGCCGAGCAGATGGGGGGAGAGAGAGGGTGGGAGCGAGCGAGGGGGCATGGGGGGAGGGGAGGTAGTACGTTTGACAGTTGGCACAGGCCCAGGTCTAACGCGTGTATATTTATCAGTTCTTAGATGACTAAGCTTCTCTCTTATAAAAAGCC